TAATCTTTTCACCTCATTTTTGTGGCCTCATATGCGGCACTTGGTAGAGGCTCCAGGCTGCCTGCATCCTGCAACCTGCAACGTGCAACCGCACACCAACATGCCAATTGTGGCCAAAGCTGCCGGTACTGGGGCGAGCTGTGAGATGATAAAAAGTTGAAGCTGCACCTCCAGCAAAGGGCGTGGCAACTGTGTGCCAATCCATTTGCATAGAAGTTGTTGTCTCGTCTTGTTTTGTGGATTGTTGCATAGTTTAGTAGTATCTTTTTCATCCGCTCGTAATGGTCCCGTGCCTAAGCCCGACTTGATTGCCAACAATAATTTTTCCGGCTGTCATTTTATGCTGGCACTTTCCCCTGGAGCGGAGCTCATTTTATGTCCGTGGATATACGAGGATAACAAAGCTTGCCCTTCTGGCTCCTGCCCCATTAACCTTGGAGTTTGTCATGAATCTTTAATATGCATGATTTGCGTTTTTTTGTTTTGCTTTTGGAATGTCTAATTAACATCACACGTTCAACACATTCGCATCGCATCGACATTCCATGTGCCAGACACGGACAATGGGAACGGAAACGGAACCCGTTTGATCTCACTTGGGGACGACAGCATAAAGGGTCCAACATTATCGTTTCTTTTTATGGGTAAGGTTATGAAATCTTGTAGGTATGCATAAATATTTACACATATTCAAATTCATGCACACAGTTGATGGTAAGCCCAGAGCGGGGAATCGGGGTGGGACACCCTTGTATGTCAACGTCGACCCGGCACATAATGGTTTTATGCCTTTATGGCTGAACCAATTTATTTGCACATCCTGTTCCTGTTCCTGGCCGTACGGAGGCTGGCTTTAAAGTCGATATAAAATATGACTTAAAGGGCATACAGCCTAACCTTTGGAATATTCATCGCGTGTTCTCAATTCTATTAGAAAACATCAATCAATGTAGCTTATGCTGCTTGTTCGACCACTCGTATTTGGGCCCATCCAGTTGGAATTCCCAGTCTGTTATTATAATGGAAATCGGATCAAGCCGAGGTTAACCAAATTGCAATGCGAAAGGCAAACACCTTAATCACAGCCTATCTGTCCTCAGTTTGGCTCTACTCAAAATTCAAATTTCAAACCATAACGATGACGCGGGGATATGGATGGGGATGTAGATTCGGATGAAGAAGACGTTGATGACCTCATTAGCTTCAAGTTGCGTTTACTTGACTCGACCCTGCCTGAACCATTTTCCACTCAGTTGCAGTTGCCCTGTTTTAAGTGCTTGGCTCTGCAGTTGCCAGCGTTGCAAGAAACGCACTTTAGCCTACTTAACGAGTTTGTTAGCCATAAATTCTTTTGGCAAACAATAAGGATATTGAATGTCACCGTCGTCTTGTCTAGGACTGTCGCTGGCCGAGGTCCTGTAATGTAATTTACATTGCACGAGCACGGAAAATAAAACGTAACTCACTCATTCTATCATCGCCTAGACACCCTATCGCCGCTTCGGATTCCTGCATTCTGGCATTTTCATATTTTCCTCGCTTTCCATTTAGACTAAGAGCACGTATTCTGTTCACTTCCAACTTGTTGTTTTGTTGTTTGCAGGGCCAAATGAATACTAAATTGTTGTTAAAATTTCAACCGTTAACGTGAAATTAAAAATGCAGTTTCGAATGGAAATTGTATGGAAGTCGATTATAATATTTTAATTAATCATTCAACTGATGGGTAGCCATAAACGCTTAAGCCTTGTCACCGCTCATCGTGAACCTTGAGCGGAATAAAAACAATGTCCCATTTGGGAACAAAACAAGAACAACGCAAAAAAAAGAAGCTCCAGTATTCCAGATACTCGTAACTCATAAGCTTCCTGTAGGTCATGTGTCCCCAATCCGAACATCCTATCCCGCTCATGCAAATAAACCAAAAGAACGGGGCAGAACGGGAATTTCGTTTTGTGTTTTTTGTATGCCAATCCAAGGCCCGGGGATTGGATTGGTTCGGGTCATAGCTCCATATACACTTACATATATACATACATCTTTATGTAGGGGTATTGGTTTTATATCGCTTATCGCCAGGACGGAAGGAAGCCAGACCCACAGCAGGAAATAAATTCAGTCGGTTGCAGGAAATTATTTATATTATATTTTTTTTATGCGAACTGTTTTTCATCCATTTTTCTTTATTGTTTACTCGCAAAATATTTAATATGCATTTTAATCAAAATAAAGAGAGAACTTTCCCCGAGAACAAAACCTGGCGATATTAAACCCTACACGGAGGCCGAGCGCAGGCCCAAATATAAATTATAATTTCCGCTGGCGGCCACAGGAGCCGTGAGCACAAGCAATGACATAAAACAGAGTTTCGATAACATCTGCAAGAAGTGCGTTCAATTATTCTTCTTTTTCGTTGGATATTTCCTGGTTACTTCACCCTGCCTCGCTCCCAGCTCCATCTCATAATCTCCATGGAGCAGATAAACTTTTATCAAGTCAACGAAGAAACGGAGGAAGAATTACTAGGCAAACAACAAGAAAACAATCTGTTTGTTTGGCGTTTTATTCGGAATTTTAGGGTAAATGTTATTGCCAGTTACAAATGTTTTACAACAGACAAAAAACATTTTATTCAAAAGAATGTCAGTTGAGAGAAAATGAATACATCACCATTCGATGATTTTGAACTCTAAAAACAAATTAAATTTAGTTTGGAGTAAATGGTAATGTATATATAGAATTTAGCTTTTAGTCAAGCTCCAAAGAAATCTATGTGCCATTTGAACTAGCCTCATTTGATTTTATATAGTCTAAGTCAGCAAAGAATACTCCGCTCAAACATCGGCTCTCTAACATTGTACTCATCTTGCAAGCCAGCATAAAAAGATTATTTCGAGTCTGACTTAAGCGACCGGAAAAAGGAAAGCCAAAAACAAGAGGGGAGGGTGCAGCTCCTCAAATCAGCAAATGGAAATAGATCGAACGCGCAAATGGAGGCCAAGCCAAAGGCAATGACAAAATATTCATGATAATGCAAAGCACGCAGCCAGAAATGCCGGAAAATGCCACGCAAAAACCCAGCGGAAAATTTAAGAAAATTCTCCACGATAGCCTTTGTGTGTCCTTCGACCTGTGTCGTGTGTGCGTGGCCCAGAAGAAAAAGGATTAAATCAATGTTGTGGAACAAATTGCGTTTGGTGTGTGTGGCAGGAATGACGGTAATGCAGCCGAGCCGCATTTTATATCCTCGTTTCTTCCATTTTGAGTTTTTTCCTGACAACAGCAAACAAAGGCATAACGAGGTGCGCGGATGTGAATGTGGATGTAGATATGTGTGTCCCCCTGCTCAGATCCCAGACATGACCACACTCGATGTCCCATTTGATTTTGATGGCGTGAAGCTCACACGAGCGTTAATAATCTGAACACAGCACGAGCACTCTGATGGATTGTATGGTATTGGCTAAGGCACAGTTATGGATAGAAATTAGATGCAGCGAATTCTCAATAGTGTTGGTGTTGCGCTTTACAATTTGAAAATATTTATGCCCGGCACCCGAGGAGTAAATAGTGTATATTGGGAAACATTTCCGACCCCACAAAAGGCAACAATCCGAAGTATCCACAATTTGAAGTTAACAGAAAACTAATGCAATTCCGTAGGGATCATTATTTAAACCAGAATGAAGAAATTAATTTGCAGTGGCTACCCCCACCCCGTTCGGCAGCTTTGCTTGTGCTTGCTTGTTGTTGCTCATTCTTTCGTATGAAGCGCCTCACAAACGTTCCTCCTCGTTTGTTTCTCGATTGTGTCTTTTAATTCGATTTTAATGCTTGTTGTATTTATAGGGAAATCTCCAAAAGCTATGTAATTTTAAACTCAGTCTTAGTCAAACTTAGTCAGTCAGCTAAACCTCAGTTTTAATATGCCTATTAAAATATATACGTAAGTAATACAAATTGTCCCTCATAAACAGATCTAATGCTCGGACCACTTAGCCCCGACAATGGCTAACAGGGCAACCCGCGTCTTCAGTCTTAATTGCAATCAGTTATTAGAATCAAAGATGAGCATCTCCTGCCCCCGACAGTGAACGTTCGAACTGGATGAGAGCATGAGTTAAATTGGACAAGGAGCAGGTATACGCCCACCTGTCTCCCCACCTGTGAAGGCAGGGAGGGGGGGTGTATTTAAAAATAGCAGTGGGATTGGAGTCGGAAAATATGGTGAAACATTAGCTGCTCGTGGCGAAGAAACCCAAAGCCTGCGGGGACAGAACCAGGCACGGACATGGAATCCAATATTTCGTGACATTTTTTTTTAATAATCGAGGAATTGGGGCTGTGTTCAGAACATTTGACAGAAGTTATTTAACTGTTAAGGTCTCGAAACGGCTCAAAGATTTCTATACAGATAACTAAATCAATCCACGACATCGCTCTTCATTCAATATTTCTTTACGAGTACGAGTACCACCTGAAAACGTCCATTATTATCATTAACCAGGCTGACATCTACTTCACCTCAGCTCTGTTCCGATTGCGGCGCGATAAGATAAGCAAAAGAAAGGAAAACCCCACCATTAACGTAGCAAAAGGTAAGCCATGGCGGTGATAAGTAATGGCAAATTCACTGCCATGGGGACTGCCTTGCTGGAGCCGAGTGAGATTGGGGCATTGCGGCTTTTGGGACTATTGGGGCCATTGGAACAATGAGCAAAAGTAGGCACTGGGAAACGTGCGGCACGTGAGCAAATAGTCCAATGGCAGTGGGCAAATAAATTGCTGTGTGAATGCCATAAACGATTAAAGGCAGCCTTTGATAAGATGGTGCTTATCAATGTCCAACCAACGATAAAATACAACTAAAGGACACGATACGTGGCCGATGCCAGAGCGTGATTTCAGAGTTTTATGGCCCATAAAAACTAAATTTAAAAATGCTTTAAGAGGGCATTTTTTGCTATATTCGAGTGGCCAAAAAAACACTGTTGTTAAAATATTTTGGCTTGATTGGTTATCAATTTAGAAATTCGTGATATTTCGCAATCATTTCTCTCACAGATATTCGTAATTCGAAATTTGTAGCTCTCAGACGCCTAGCACTCCATTCACCTGCAGATCTTCCAGGGGCAGGTGCTTGACAACCGCTGTGAAATCGTCCACTGCACAGGCATAGGAGTAGCCCTTCTTTAGATCATTCTTGGTCCAACTGACCCATGTCAGTTGCTGGCCAATGTCCTGGCAAATTATATATTCCTTCTCGATTTGCTCGATATCAGCATGGGGATTGTTCACGCCGATCAAGACGATGCCTTTCCTGCTCTCCCGATCGATAATCACTCGGAAGTACAACTTTGGAACGGGTATCAATCCGTTGTTGTTCTCGTCGAAGTTCAGATAGAGCTCACGCTCAATGCCGTCGACATCGGGCAGGGTAGAAACACCCCAAGTGCCGGTGTAGCAATCCACTGTGATGTTTTGATCGGCCACGAACTTTCTCACACTGTCCTCGATGCGCTCCCAGTTTCCCGCATTGAAGGTTTGCCACTGGGGGGCCACGTTCACAAAAAAGAAGCTGGCCATCTGAGCGGCTCCAAAGACAAAGTCGGTCTTGGCAGAGAGGTGCCCGCGAGCCAGGTACACATTTCCGCTGATGTTGAAGTATGGCGAGGCATCCTCTCCTAGGATCTCACTAACAGTGATGTTCTGCTGCACTTGGGTGTACATCTGGTTAACGTCCTTTCCGTCGTAGAAGTCGCCCGTGATGAAGCTGGGCCTTGCCACGGAACGCTGATACTGAGCACTGCCCGGGTGGAGCACGTGATGGACATAGCGAGTCACCTCGGCCAACTCATCGTGACAGACATCATAGGTTTGAAGGAAATCGTCATCGGAGGAGGATGGATCGGTTGACAGCTGGAAGCCCACTTCGAGTAGATCTGTGCCCCCGTTGCACTGCCGACTGGTACGACGAGCCGTGTAACTCGGCCAGGAGGGGCAAACAAAGTCCTGCAGCTGATACAGACTGCCAAGAAACAGGAAACTCTGTTCCTGCCAGCACGTGGCATTCAAGCGACTGTACCCCAAGAAAGGTCCCACAAAGTTTTTGAGACAGTGCAGCTCCAAAGCCTCACCATGTCTGAGCTGGACTAGGCCATCCAAATTCGGCTCCAGATAGCGTGCCTCTCCCAACGTGTTGCGTATCACGAAGAGCGGAGCCGGATCCTTGAGGTCCCCGTTTACACGAAAGCTGCAGAGCTCATTTTCCAGAGACTGCTGATTGAGTCCGAGGATACCCGTGGTATGCAGTTGATCCAGTGGCAAATCCTTCACCACATTGGTAAAGTCCTCCACTGCGCAGGCGTAGGAGTAACCCTGCCGGAGATCAGCCTTCTTCCAGTCCAGCCAGTTTAACTGCGCACCCACATCCTCACAAATTACATAGTCCTGAAGGGTGTCATCCAAAGATATGTGCGGATTGTTGACCACCACCAAGGCAATTCCACGGCGACTCTCCTGATCGATGACTATGCGATAGACTATTTTGGGAACTTGGAGCTGCTTCGTGTCAGCATTCAGAAAGAGTTCGGTTTGAGCCCCATCCACGTTCGGCAGAGTCGAGATCCCCCAACTGCCGGCAAACACGCTCACATTGAGGGATTGATCCGCGACGAACTGACGCAGACTCAACTCCACCGCCTGCCAGTTGCCAATGCTGGCACTCCTCCACTGAGGGACCGCATTCACGTAGAAGTGCGTGGCTCTCTGGCCAGACCCGTGCACAAAGTCGTGACGAGCTGCCAGCTGTCCTCGCGTCAGATAGAGATCACTGGAGCTGTCGAAATACTGGCTGGCATCTAGCCCCAAAGCGGCACTAAACGCCTCCAGCTGATTGGTAAGGCCATACAGAAGGTTCACATCCTTGCCGTAGTAGAAATCACCTCTCAGGTAGCCTGGCTGAGCCACACCCCGTTGATAGGCCACATTCGCTGGTGTCAGCTCGTACCTCGCATATCGAGTGATCTGTGAGTCTCCGTCGTAACAGATCTCCAGCTGTGCAAGCACACCAGCGGCCACATCGAACCCGATCTGTACACGGTCTGTTCCTCCCTCGCAGTCCTCCCCCGATCGCTGTGCCTCGTATGTCGGCCAGCTTTGGCAAACAAAACCTCGAATATTTAGCTTCTGGTCCTCTGCTTCGTACATCTCATCACCTACACAACGAGCCGTGACAGCCGTGTACCGATTTAAGGGGCTAGCCAGGGCTCCTGTACAGTGCAAGTCAATGGAGGACCCTTCGTCTACCGTGTACACCCCTTGTTCATCGGGAAGGAGCCAGCTGAGAGATCCCTGGGGTGTCAGCAATGGAGCAGGGTCTTTGAGACCGCCATTTATGCTGAACTGGCATTGAGTGGGAGCTGGAACTGTGCTGGAGGGGACAGGTGGTGCTGATGTAGTGGTGCTGGGCGCAGGGGTAGATGGAACAGTCGATGAAAGTTGGGTTGTGGTTGAGACTGGCTCTTCTGTAGTTGGTGAATTTGTAGTTGAGACCGGTGCAGGTGTTGTACTAGAGATTTGTTCCGTGGTGGGCAATGCTGTAGTTGAGATGGGAAGATCAGTTGTAGAAGAAACTGTTGGTTCTGTTGTTGAAGGAGCAGCAGTGGTTGAGAACTCAGTGGATGAACTTGGCAAATCTGTAGTAGAATCTGGTGTGGTTGTGCTTTCTTGATCGTCCGTTGTAGTAGATGGGGCAACCGTCGTCAGGTCGTCCAGGCCCAGAACACCGTTCGTTTGAAGATCATCCAGCGGGAGGTGCTTGACCACCTTCGTGAAATCCTCTACAGTGCAAGCGTACGAATAGCCCTCGTGGAGATCCTCCTTGTACCAGGACACCCAGCTCAGTTGATGCCCAATATCCTCACACAGGACATAGTCGTTTTCTATTTGGTCCAGACTGGCATACGGATTGTTAACACCAATGAGGACAATGCCCTCGCGGCTCTCCCGGTCGATGATGACACGGAAGTACAACATTGGCACGGGAATCAAGCCGTTGTTGTTTTCATCAAAGTCCAGATAGAGCTCCCTTTCGATGCCGTCCACATCTGGCAGGGTGGAGACTCCCCAAGTCCCAGTATAACAGTCCGTGGTAAGATTTCGATCGGCCACAAACTTGCGGACGCTCGACTCCACCTTCTCCCAGTTCCCTCCGTTAAAGCTCTGCCACTGGGGAGCGACGTTGATGAACAGAAAAGTGGATCTCTGAGGGGCTGCAAATATCTGGTCCGTCTTAGCAATCATGTGACCCCGGGCCAGGATGCGATCCTCAGTGTAGTTAAAGTATGGCGAGGCATCCAGTCTCAGGATGTCGCTTATGGTGATATTCTGCTGCACCTGAGTATACTTCGTATTCACATCACGTCCTCCATAAAAGTCCAACTCTATGAAGGACGGCCGGCCGACTCCATGCTGATAGTCGTAGCTGGAGGGATATAGCACGTGATGCACATATCGAGTGACTTCGTTCTCTTCGTCATGACAAACATCGTATGTCTGTAAAAAGCCACCGTCCTCCAATTCGAATCCCACTTGCACTAGATCTGTGCCTCCGTTGCACTCCCTGCCGGTGCGAAGGGCGGTGAAGGTAGGCCAGTCAGCGCAGGTGAAGTTTATGAACGGAAAGATGAGTCCATCTACCAGGAAGTACTGCTGCTGGAGACACTGGGCCGTCACCTGCGTTTGGTTCTCAAAGGGAGCCGCGAAGCCCGCTCCCGGACAAAACATATCCAAGAGTTCACCATTCACCAAACGCACAGTATCCGTGGGATCAGGTACGATCAATTCAAAAGATCTGTGTCGCGAAAAGAGCGGCACTGGATCATTCAGATCACCGTTGATCTTAAATTCACATTCTCCCTTCACTATCACACCTTCCTCGCCCTCAACGTAGGGTTGTGGAAGTATTCTTGCCAAGCGCGCGGAAACATATCCGAGCAGCGCCAGGACAGCAATCGCGCCGAGAGTCAACCTCATCGCGAAGCTTCAGAGGACGTTATGACAGGCCCCGCGCTCATGAAGTACTTTCTTAAATAGCCTTCTTAGATGTAGATTAGATTATGACTTTTATAGCCATTGATTGTGAGAAGTCATAAATGCGAGTGTATCAAAAATATTGATGCAATCAAAGTGAAGAGCCAAAACCCATTCGATCAATGATATGATTCGAAGGTAATGCCAACCACTTGAGCCGACAATTTGATGGCGTCTATGACAATAATTCATTAATATTCACTAAATATCTATCATTCAACAGTTTTTGGACACATGTATTGAATTGTGCCAGAGTGAGTCAAACTGTTATTAATAAACAATATTCACTGTTAAAAACATGTGTTTTATGACTGTGGGGTTAGTTGCTTGGTAAAAAAAGAAATGCGGAACGGACGGTAACCTTATCAAAAACCACATTAAAATTGACAATAAAACTACAGAGTTTTGCAATTGGTTGACCAAAGAGCTATTTAAAAAGTTGAAAGGTTCAAAGTTGAAAGCGATAATTAATAGCAAACACATTATTTTCTTAAGTTTTCCCATGCAGGTTAGTTCATTGTTTTGACCATTTTCAGTTCATAATCCCCGCACACAACACAAACGCGCATGGATGGTCATCCTATCAGTTCTCAATATTGTTCAAATTAATTAACTTATTTGAGGAAAAGAAAAATGTCTTATTGACGGCAAATATTTGTCTAAGGAGTCAGAGACGAATGCAAAAAATACGCTCAATCAAAATCAACGACAGACAGGGAAAGAAACGGACCACAGTCATTCGAATATGGAGAAAATCAAATAAATGGGGGTCGAGGAACACTCACAGACAAAGGTGACGCAGGGAGCCCAACCAGACGTGTCCACTGAGTAATTTGCAGCACTGTTCGTGCGTGTAATTTTTGGCAATTGAATGATCCATCGTCCTCTCATTCTAATGGGGTTTGTATATGCTGTGGCACAAAAAGCTGCATGTAAAACAAATCATTAGGTAATTTAATTTGGATGCGAAAAACACATTTATTCGCAGTAGCAGCTGTCAAGCTGCTTCTCACAGAAGGCCTGTCAGTGAAATGCAATAAATGTGTAGCCAAATGCTGTGCATGTCATTCAAATTGAATGGCAATGTTTCCATGAAAATCGGCCCTACAGAGAGAATTGAGCTAAGAAAAAAGACAGTCCGAAGCAAAGCTTCCAATATGTAGACATGTATTTCAAACAGAATACTCTTACACATACATATACGATTATTTTGAAATCCACAATTTTTCAACAGTGCATTGGGTAATTTTACCACTTTTTTGGCAAAAATCAGTAACTTCCAAACCAAAGAACATTTTTACACCCGGTACTCGAAGAGTACGCTGCCAATACCCCACGACATCTTCCCAGATCTCGGGTATAGGGTGTCCTTTGCCTCCTTGTTTATCTGGAGGATCACACACTGGCCGACCTCCTTGGGTTGTGGGCTCCCAATGTGCAGAACCTTCCAGTCCGCCGGTGGAACCTTCGGGGTCTGACGTTGATGTAGCTTCAACGCCCTGTCGCCTTGGATAGTAATGGGAAAGAGTGCCTTCGCTTTAGGGATGGACTGGCTCCCCCCACAACACCTCCAGTTGGCAGAGCGATGGCACTCTCGGCGGATCGTTGCGTCTTGGTTGCTAGCCGGAGCTAGATGTTTGGGTTGACATCCCAACCCGAGTTTTTTCCTTCTTCAGCTCCATGTTAGGCCCGTAGGTCCATGTGGCTATAGATGTGGATATTTTTTGGGGGACCGCCCTCTAGCGCTTTATGCCTATCCGCCAGGCACCTCCAGCCATGGCATTGGTTCAGTAATATGTACAATGGTAACAATATTATTAGTATTTCCCATTACAATTATAGCCTTTGACACTGCACTATGGGGAATTTGAATACTTTTTCTGCACAACACAACTCCTAATTGCATCGCGAAGCCTGACGACACAACGCTACGGGCATAGTTCAATTGGCAGGGACATGATCAGTTTTACTGATCATATTAAAACCCAAACTTTCCTTGATGTACAACGTCACCTAGCAGAGATCGCTAAACACATAGCAAGACCACACGATGCGGCCAACATATTCGTAGACAACCAAGCGGCGATAAGATCCATGCAGTCGTCAGCGGTCAGTTCTAGAAGCACCAGATACCCTTAGCACGACAAGGTCAGTGCGGATCTACTGGATTTCCAGCCACCAGGGCATCGAAGTAAACGAGGCAGCGGACGCTCTAGCTAAGGAAGGCGTCGGGCTGGCGAATGACAGACTTGAGAGCGTGCCAGTTTCTCTTAGAGCGCTACAAAGCGACCTAGAAAAGCAGGCCGGACCACAGAGCAGGAACAGGTAGAGCAGTACCACCACCTGCTGGAGCTAGAGGTAGATACCCAGGCCTTTGTGCTGCCACCACTTGAAGATGCTTCCAAGAGGACGCCAGGAGAACAACTTGCATTCGCCAAGAACACCTAGATTCGATTTCAAACCCGCCTAAAAAGCTACCGCGACGGTTCATACTCCCCGTCCAGATAACTAAAAGCCATACTGGCCTATGAGTGGCACCACCGAGGGCCTAACCTAACCTAACATATTACTTATGCGTTTTTCCGGATGGAATTTATGTCTCGTTCCGAACAAAATTAACATTAGCCATACATACAAAGACAACTGCGTGTGAATGTCACAATATAATATATATAAACGGTCACCATTTCTTTGCTGCAGGCAGAAACAGGGGAGGTGGACTTGCCTAAATCAATGATAATTCTGTGCTAGTTGCTTTTTGACGCTTTGTCGTGACCATTCGGGCACAAATCCTGATTTTTGTTTAAGGAAAACACATGGCGTATGCGGAATGTTCAGTGCACCTAGCTTGCAGATGAAATCGCAGTTAAAGTGCAAGCTGCACATCTGGCAATGTTAATTATAATTTTCCATTTACACCTCTTTTCAATTTCCGTCGCCATCTCTTCGACGACTGCATCTCTGTCGTGCTCTGGCTCGGCTCAATTAAAAGTGCATTAAGCCACGCTCAGGCGGACACAAGGTTAAGGCAGCATACCCAAGATGAGGGAGGATGGGCCAACAGATTGCTCTCTAAGGATAAACTTCCGCTTGATTGCTGTTACTTAATGAAAATGCATAATTCAACAAGGACACGGATAGAAAGGCCAGTAATAGTTCATGGAAAAAATGTGGTATTGGCTAGAAAAGCGTTTCCGAATTAAAAATTTTTGAAGCAAAAATACTCACGATATGAGAATGAGGACCGTATCCATCCCATACTATAAATTGAAAATTCAGATTTAATCCCAAACACCAGTAGGGCTCTTTAAGTACAGGATGTCGGAAAACAGGAAAACATGCTCATATTGTGGCACCTCAGTTTTTGTGCTTTTCTTTTTTCTACAGCGAAAAAGTTTCTTGTATGGAATTTCGTGCAGTACGCATCCGCCGTGTGCGCCGATGGCGGGGCATTGAATAAATGACGACGAGTGCAAGCGACGGCCATGGCTATGGTCAAAACGAAGCTGCGACTGGCAATGGCGGCTGGTGGATGGCGATGGCGGCTGGCAGCCCCTTCCACAATAACAACACTCAAGTGCAGCGGCCAAACAAGCAGCGCCAACTGCAAAAGACAGCGTCAGGCAAAGCCAACAGCAAAAAAGAAAACCTCACCAAGTAATTTTTTCATCTTTTTGTGTGCTGTATTTAAATGGATATGTCTGAGATTTCCCTTTTTTGTTGGTTTTCCCTGCGGTTGTGTTCCTGAGTGAGTACAGGGAAATTTCGCATTTTTCTCCCTGTCCCTTAACCGAAACATTTTAATTTAAATGGTGAAACGTGACAATGGCGTCGAGACTGAGGATATGAGGTTGTCTCATATGTCGCGCTGTCAGTCAAATTTTACAATGCACGAGTACGCCACCCAATGGAGAATGGGAGTAAAAAGTCGCATGCAACAATCATAACTAATTCTAGTTCTCTATGAATCTGGTCAAATGTCAAATAAATGGATAGACATTTGTTGAATATACTTATTTTCTATATCTAGCTTTAAAACAAAGATTAAATTACACAATTTAAATCAGTGTTTACTACGATTTTGTAGTATTCCCTTTGAGAGCTGCCAGCTGAAACCCATTTGAACAGTTAACCAAATCGTTGGCAGATCAACACTGATTTCATTTTGACAGGATATTTACTACAGGGTTTTTTCTTTGCCCATCTCCAGTCAGCCTTGTGGGTATCGCTAGCCATGTTCTCACTGATGTTCCTGCTCCAGCTGATGTTGTTGGTGCGTGTTGCGTTTGTCGTTTGAGTGGATTACCAGCAATATCCAATGGGGCTCTCCCTCACGGATACCACAGGGGCCACCGGCATCGTTCAGTTGACAGACGAGAGTTGAGAGACGAGAAAAAAGCTGAAACGCTGTTAAATTATGCCTGCTCAAAAAGAGTTGAATAACGTGGGGAACTTGCCGGCGATGGGGAAGGGTGATGCGAAATGAGGGCTGGAGGAGGCTGAGTATGGGAGGCAATGACGAGCCTGTGGTTACCACAGCTCAAGTGCCAATTAATAAGTTTGCCTTTGGTATGAATGGCGACCCTTCGGGGCGGCCCTCCTCATGTGATTGCAGTTGAAGAGTTTGGACTGCCGATGGCTGTAGAACGGAGGATGGTCAGCCCTCTCTCTGTACATGAATTATTCAAAGAAAAGGATATTAAAAGAACACACACTGTACAAACCCCGTTTCCCTTTTTTTTGTTCATGTTCAACTCGCCTGGACTCTTTGGCAGGACGATGCGCCAGAGTAATTGGAAGTTTTTACTGCTCCCTCGTTTGTTCCAATTTCGTGTTCAGACCGTTCTCTGACACTGAATCCAACTCTGCTGTTTCCCGATGTTTCTGTTGTCCTTCATTTTGCTTCGGCTGCTGTTGTTGATGAAGCAAATTTTAATGAATAATGTGCGGAAACACG